CCCCCCCCCCCCCAACCGTGTGTGTTCTATACACTATACACACTCACAGCCATACATGACAAGATGATAAATCATAGTGATCTACACACATTCATAACAATGTTTTTAGTTTTAGTAGAGGATTTATGGCGCTTGCATTTGCATAAGGTCATATGAGCGTCAACTCACAACAATGTATGATTATAATTTAGAATCTAGTATTCTACACAGTTTCACAACCATACACGAAAAGATGATATAATGTTCTGCGCACTCTCAAAATCAGACATGATTAGATTATAGTGTTCTACAAAAATTCCCAAACATACATGACACGATGATATAATGTTCTACACAAATTCATATCAATCCCATCCATACATGATGAGATGATATAATGCTCTACACATATTCACATCCATACCTGATAAGATGATGTAGATATCTAGTGTTCTACACACACTCACAACCATACACGCCATGTGTGTTCCCGCAGAGGTCAGGCCTGTCCGCCATGTTGGGTAAACAGCTGGACGTGTTTGGGGGCATCGACAAGTGGGGTGTGCTCTTCTTCATCAGCTACGCCACCTCCCTGCTCACCGAGGTTACTTCCAACTCTGCCATCTGCAATCTGGTTCTGCCCATCTTGACAGAACTGGTAAGACTTTTCAGTCGGTTTTTCTGGAAATTCAAGTCTACCGATCTCCGTGTAAGCAAAGATCGTGCATAACAAGATTGTTCACTCAGGCAAAAAAGTGTCCGCGGAAGTCCGTGCATTGCTTCAGATGGCACTGCGGTCTTTGTTTTGAAGCTCTCTTTCGTTTCTCCGAAAGAAGAATAGGAATACCACAGTTTGTTAGATTCACTTTTATTGTTTTTCACACTAGTAGGGTAACTGTTCGCAAAGTCCGCGCTTCTTCGAAGAGGGTGCCACCAAATTTTTAGGACACTTTTTTTAATTGGCTCAAAGAGAGAAGTGGAATATCTTGTTATGTACGATCTTTGGTGTAGGTAAGTAATTCGCTACCTCAGAATTACAAATTCTCTCTGACATGTTTGGCTGTTTTGGTTACTAAGGCCATGAGGTCAGAGACCAAATGTTCTATCTGCTCTATAAAAATTGTAAGATTATTCTGAGTCGTTACCACCGTATTCAAAGAATTGTATTCGAAAAAGATTGACGTGATATAGAACTTAAAATCTTTGATGTTAAATTTCCCAAAACTAGGTACATGTACTGAGGAGATAGAACTTTTGTAATTCTGAAATAGCGTATTGCCGACCTTTTGTTGTTGACCCAGCGCCCACTTTTACCACCTTTATGACGTCCCAGTTTTCATACCGCCCACCCACATGTATTTCCTAGCGCAGCATTAAATAACACCTGTCACTACCCGGGTCATCCCCCATTGTCCCCTAAATAAAATTATTTTAAAAAAACATCCACAAAGAACAAAGAACAAGATTTAAAAAACCCAACAAAACGAATTGGGAGGATGATGTCGCCCAGGTTGGCACGCACTGTGGCAGACAGACTGATTTCCCATTTGTGAATAAACAAACAAACATGACCTGTCACTTTGAAATAAACAAGCAAACACAATCTGTCCCCTAGTTAATAAACAAACAAATAAACATAATCTGTCCCTCCGTAAATAAAGAGACAAACATGACGTGTCACTTTATTAATAAACAACACGATCTGCCCCTTTTTTACAAAACACACACACACACACACACACA